TCAAACTGATCATAACCCTTTGGTCTGGCTACAATCCAATGCCAAATGTAACTCTGGATTGATGCGCCGGGCACTCTCTTTACAACCTTATAATTTGAAGGTCATTAATCGCAAAGGAACTTTGCACAAGAACGTAGATGTTCTGAGTAGAATTATGTAATATAATAACTCTTAGAGTATGTAACCACGTTTAGAATTAATTTTATTATTTAATGTATGCTCAACTGATGTATTTGAACGATCTCCATTTCTTTTTATTTAAATGTGGTGTAAAAGTATTTATTTAAAACTTAAAATTTTTGGCCTGAAATTTGTAAATTTATAAGAGAAATTACCTTTACTCTGTAAACAATTGAGCAAGCCGAGCTTAGAAACTTTCGAGTTTTTACAGGACTTTTCCTTTCGGTAAAAGTCTCTCCGTTGGGGGAAAGGTTGTAACAGCTTTAAATATTATTAAAATCTTGTAGTTTCAAATAAATAATTTAATTAGATGAACATTAAGCTATTTGTGAATGGCAATATTTGAAACCAGACTCAAGTGCCACGTGCAACTCTCGCACAAAGAATGTAATTTATTTTTAAATGTTAGTATTCTTTTTTCCTTCTTGTTATCTATGTTGCCATTTGAGTGTTAAATAAAGTTTTTTCTGTGTTCCATCATTGGAGTTGCTTCATATCGCCAAAGAAGTATCACAATACATTGCCATGCAATACAAAACATTTGAAACACGTTTACTGACTGAATAACGTAAGATTAAAAGTCATCTGCTTAATTCACAGCCATTTACAAGTCACCTACTCGGGCAATTACAGAATCGTTTTGATCCTGAACTTGTAGGACAAACCTAATATCACTGAATTTAAACACTTCTTTAATCTTCCGAGAACTTCCTTCTTTAGCTTATATTCCAAGAATATTAAGTGAATACAATTATTGCAAAAGAAATTGAATATTCATTTGCACTATGGCTTGGTAGTTGACTAACGAGTTAACAAAACTTAAATTCTGCTTTTTGTGTCTAAGAATACAACAATATTTTAAATATTTACAAATAAAATATTAAATTGGAGATTTAATTGGAGCCTCATCAGTTGCTTAGCGTTTGAAGATTGTTAAATACTAATTGTTTGTTGCGAAGTCTAACCCAGGCTTGCATGGTTGGTTTTTGGTAGTTTTCTAGGTTCTCTTTGCAAAGGTTCTCTATGAAAGCATCTTAACTAAATAGCTCTCATGTTCTTTCTATGTTCAAATAACCAACTAACCTAGTTTAAGTGCGATTTCCAAGTTAAGGTACTAGCAAAACCCGAATACTCATTAAAAATCATGTAGCTTGCCAATCGGGAGTAACATGAAAGATACGGTGCCAATAATTGAATTGCTGTTACGGTACGCTGTTTCTAAGCTTAGATGGTAATTCCTTAATTAAGTATAATTGATTTTTAATTTCTACTAGAGCTGATGTTAAGAATTGAAGTGTAAATAAATAATATCGTGCAATCTTGATTAATATAAAATTAGAAATATTTGCATTCAGACGAAGTTTTTTGAAATATTGGCAATTACTTTATAAGAAAGATTTATTAATAACTGTAATTACTTATTATATTAATGATGATTAGAATTCAGTTCTTGAGAATTACATTCTAAATTAGAATTTTAAGGATATAATGAAAATACGCTACGCATAAAAATACATTTTTAGGATAAAAAATGAGTGAATATTTTATGTTTAAAAACGTCTTAAATTAATTTAATAAACATCGTACCCTCGTTGTTAATTGAATCCAGAATGTTGAGTGTCGTTTATATAATTATTCTTACTTGTCCACAGAACCTGCTGACTTATCCAGCCATTAAGTAGCTGCAGATCATTTCTGCATAACCATTGAACTTCCATTAATTCAGTCTCTAGAGAGTTGTATGTTTATATCATAATTTAACTTTTATAAAAATGATTATTCTAAATCTTATGTTTCTATAAAAATTTACTATGCTTTAAAAATATATATGATAGTATCAGCAGCTTCATAAGCAACAGCTTGTTTAAAATTAAATTATGCAGTTAATGTCATAAAATTCAAATAACATAAAACAAAAGTTCTCAGTTTTAGACAATTTGATTTAAATGAAGTTAAAGTAAAGTATCAGATGATAAAACACCGAAGATAAAAATTTATTCTTACAAATATTTTTTTTAAAAGAGGAAAAAAGAGAGAAATTAAAAAAAAAAAAAAAAGTTAAAAATTTGAATAATATCATCTATAATTTAAAAAAAAATAACCTTTCATATAGTATTAATAAATATTTATTACATATCATTGAAGGACAAAATTTCATATATAATTAATTCTCCATAAAATATTATTTGAAATTTAAGGTTAAAAATAGCTGTGGCAATTCACTATAACAAAAATCCATAAACCACATTTGGCGTTATTATTGCTCAAAAAAAAGATCCCAAATTTCAAAAACGTGGAAATATGTAAATTCGTGTATATTTTAGAAAATTTTGAATAAAAAAGTCTAACTTTTTGCAGGTATGCTTAGAAGTACACCTACTTTAAGATGACAGTAAAAATATATTTAAATTTTAAAACTACTCGTACGATTTTTACAAAACTTGGCATTCTGGCATAATTTGAGTCGTAGAATCGAAATATGGAAAAAAATTGGTATATCATTTCAGAAAAAGTCCGATTTTGGGTCAAAAGACCTATGTTAGAATAGTGCTATATATAAAATTAATATATATCCTAAGTCACGCTTTCGAGACATGAAAAACTCAGTTTGAATTTTGTCACTGTTCTGTATATATCCTGCATGTAATTATTTCTGTCTATCAAAGTCTTAGTGGCCATTTCTAACTCTCCCAAGAAAAATTTAATGCTCATTAACTCTTTTCTCTCCCAGTATATAAATCTGACTTCTGAAGTAAATGACAGGTGACTATTCTCAAACAAATTACCACTTCGAATGCCGACGTGTTCGTTACACTATTTCGTGTTGCATTTCCAAAAATGGTTGTTTTCCAGAATGCAACATCATCATATGTGAATCTAAATATTCTTATCTTTATGGTAAAATTTTATGTTCTCACCAAAGTTTCACCGAACTTCATTTTGCAGGCAAATCTCACAAGCACATGTTTCAAAATTTATCTGGATACCACAAATATCACATTTTGCCTTTAGAGCTTCTCATACACCTAAACCAGCATGTACAAAAATGGCTACATTATTCAAACTTACTGTTATCCATATGGTTACCTGAAGAATTGTTATATGCATGGTTGTCACAGTTTGGCAACTCTTACCGAGGTGGTTATAATAATAACAAAGTACATAAAATTGTACACTGGTGTGCAAAACTTAAGCAACAATATAAATTTTAATCAGATAGCCATAAAATTGCAGAAAAGAGGTTCTTGTGATGAGTACAATGAACACGCAATTCAGCAGAAAGTTCATACGTATGCAAATGTCAGGAACAAAACGTCACAGGCGACGTGAGCGTACGCAAAACACGTGTGGTTGGCGGACTCAACTCAAGTCTACAATAAAAGGAAGGACATAAACGCAATTAAAGACATTCACTGCAAGTGCAAGTGAGTTCTTTCGTGAAATATGGCTAGAAGAAATCACCTGAATGACTTCACACCTGGAAGAATGACGGAAAAGCTGGAGCAGGGGCATAGTGTGACCAGTGTAGCTGAAGAGTTTGGGATGAACAAAAGTTTCATTTCGTGCACTTGGAAAACCTTTCAAACCATAAGTACAACTGTTAGAAAGGCTGGTGTAGCCGTCCCAGGAAAACGACTGCAGTGGATGACTGATATATCATCCTGCAGGAAAAAGAGCCCGAAACCAGTCAGCAAGCACCATAGCTCAACAACTGTATACAGCAACGGGGCGACAGCTGTCACGGTTTATTGTGTCCAGATGTCGTCGCAAAGGTGCCCGCCACCCTTTATGCTGCATCCCTTTGAAAGTTGGCCATCGATGACACCGTTTAGAATGGTGCAAGGAGCACGAAAACTGCGTATCTCATCAATGGAGTAGTGTCCTCTTTATGGATGAGTGCCACAAGCGATTCTCAATGCCAGCTGATTTGGAGAGAGGTCGGTTTCATTCCAGGATCCCAGGATAGTTTCATTCCAGTAACATCACGGAAAGAGACCGTTACGGTTCGTCTGGGGAGGCCATTATGCTGAACGGGCGCACAGAGCTCCCTATTTACGACAGAGTTTCTGTAACCGGAGATCGCTATTGTCAGGAGGTGATCCTTTCCCATGCGCGTCTGTTCTGTGGTGCCATTGGAGCAGACCGATTTTATGGATGACAATGCACGGCTACACCTGACTCCTGCTATTCAGAAGCTACCGAAAAGTGAAGGTATCACTTGAAAGGATTGGCCCACATACTCCCCTGATTTAAATCCAATAGACATGTGTGGGATGCTTTGGGGAAATGGCTTGCGGCAAGATTACATTCTCCGGGAACACTAACAACTGAAACAGATGGTGATTGAGGAATGGACACTCTTACCTCAAGATCTGTTGGACAGTCTGGTGCTGAGTGTGGAGAGATGGTGCAAAGTAACCATTGTAGTAATAGGAGGGCATATCCCATGCTAAGGAATATCTGTTTGTTGTTCTTCCTCTTGTACAGACAGTCATGTGCAATGATACTATGAGTTCAATAAAGCCTTTTGTTGTTTGATTCCATACTGTTTGCATTGTATTCATTCTTGTGCACCCATGGTTTTCGTCATCGTTTAAATACAAACTACTGTCTCACATTTCTGAATTTCATGTCTCTCAGAAGATTTCTCGTAGAGTTATGACAAAAAGAACACCTGTTGCTTAAATTTTGCACACCAGTGTAAATTAATTTGACAAAGAAAACTATTTCATTTGTTCCTATTAAACTATATGACAATGCTTTCTCTTTTTTAGTTCATTAATTATTTTATGAGTTTTTGATAAAAGCTTTTGGTACTCATGTATTATCTTGTTGAATGTGAAAGCTGGATACCATTGAATCATTTATGTTGTAGCAACAAGAAATTACAGGTTATTAAAAAGGGCTTGTTTTCTTCTGATATTATAGAGTATGTAACTTAAACACCTTCTCTGTTAACTTTACCAATTTGCTTCAAATGTTCTTGAATGGTTGACAAGGTTAAGCTTATTCGATAACTCTTTTATCATTTGCCAAGTACTCGGTTCCACTTCTGCCTTTAAAACATCATTATCGAGAGATACAGGTCTTCCTAAACGGGACAAGTTGCAAAGATCAAAATTACCTGATTTAAATCCAGCAAACCACCTTTGATATTTATAGCATCTGATGTTTGATAAACATTACAGATGTTGTTTTGTCTCTTTTTGCATTGTTGCCTTTGCAAACTTAAATAACATACAACATCAAATATGCATATTTTCTGGTTTTTAGCTTGACATTTTAAAAGAGATGTTATAAAAATGAAAGTTACCTGTAAAATAAAAAAGAACTTATTTGCAAAAATATTTTCCACAACTTTGACATGTGCAATTGCTACTTAACATCTATATCAAAAATCACCCTCACATGGCTACTCAGAGATAGTGCAAGAGCCTGGACGTTGTAAAATATGGTTACCCGAGTCATTTACCAAATATTGTGGAAGTCTGTTGATTTGTATAAATATCTAAGAGGTAAGAAAGAAAATTTCAAGATAAGTGGAGAAAATAAAACTCTAGAAATTGATGAAAATGTATTTATTAGCAAAATTGTGCTTTGCCTTATCCCCAGCAAAAAACGAGGAAATCGGAAGTAAATGCAAATAGAAATAGGTCTGTCTATTTTGTCGTCAACAAAAAATGTGACCAGACATAATTGAAAAGTATCAATTCTATTTAAAATAGACTAATTGTGATAAATGTATTTTCAGGCCAGAAAGATTTATTTTATTTTAAATTTAGGTACTTTGGCAATGCCTAAGCACAAATGTCACAACAGTAGATTTTTTTCTTTTTTGGCAATGGCAGGCTAAGCCAGCCTTGATTAATGAATTGAAATCAGGAGAGAGTATGTTATCACTGTTGAAAAATAGAACCACTTTCAGTCAGTTTATTTAATGTATATATATATATATATATATATTGTATGACAGAAGAAAAGAGGGGAAAAAATTTTATATTTATAATATCGTGAATCAAAAAGCATTTAATTTAAAATCAAAGCAATGCTTGTACAATCAAAGCCTAATTATCTAGCATTCAAATAACCAGAATATCATAGAGAATTTTTTTAAACAAAAAAGTTACACTGATGAGAGGCTTGTAGAGGTATCATAAAACACATGCAGGACTACTACTCGGGATACCACTAATAATATCTAAAATTTGAATACAGCTACGTCCTCCTCTTTCAGGAGATGTTTGCTCCTCACCTACATTTTATGCACCATATTGCTCAAAGAATTTATTCTCGGAACTGAACACTCCTCATAAACATCTTTTCCATTGAACCATTTTTGGAAAACAAAACCTTTTGCTATACAGTAGGCTTTTAACATCAAGATTGAATAGGCATAACATCATAATCATAGGATCTTTGCTATGGTTTTATGCAGACCGGATTAATTCTCGATAAGTTAATTTGATATTTACCAAGCTGCTATTTAAGTCTTTCATACTTTTAAAAAGTATTAAAATCCAAGATCTAAATTCTATGGAACAACATGCAAAGAAATATTTTCAAACATTCTATCATCAAGAAAATAATTAATGAGCATGATATGCTGCTTTATTTGAAAATGGATAAACAATGGCAATGAAGTGGAAAAATTATGAGAAGCAATTTAAATTTTTTATTTGCTTTATCCGTAACTTGAATCTGTTGATTATCTAACTAACCAAAGAGCCATTTATTTATACAAACTTTTGACAGAATGGCTACTGCTAGTTTGCCAGGATCTCCATGAACTTTCGTTGTTGACAAGATTTTATCATTTCACGATTTGTTAAGATATTTACTTTCATTTGATTAAAATATATAAAAATACATCAACTTTTTTTTAACTGTTACATAATTTTAAAAGTAAGCTTTTGATAATGAATATGATTATTTTACGCCTTTTTTTTTTTTTTTTTTATTTTTTTTTTATTTTGGGCATTGCATTTTTCATATGCTCAATTGGAATTTTCACATACCTAGTATTATGCATTTCCAGTACTTTCCAGATACTAGACCTTTAACTGTAATATACATATGAAGTCAAAAAATAAAAATTTAAAAAAAAAAAAAAAAAAAAAAAAAAAAAAAAAAAAAAAAAACTTACTGTTTTTCTTGCTTTAGTGGAAAGGGCGGTTAAAATTTTTAATATCGTTAGAATTTTTTTAAATACAATAGATCACAACTGTTGCACAGGAATTCGCCCAAGTAAGATTTCATAACTCGACATCCAGTACTAATAGTATGACTCTATAAGTATTTATTACTCTTGTTTTTACTCTTGTATCTTACATATGTGTCTCTCTTCATATTTATCTTAATATCAATGCATCCTTATGTTCGTATCTGTTAGTATTTGTTTGTTTTTGCCTGTATATGTAACTATTCTTGTATTTGTTTTGTATATTTTTATGTATCTGTGTTATTCCAACAGCCATGCACACCCACAAAGTTATTGTCACGCAACCATTGTCAAACAATAATCCTCAGCCCCTGTATTGATCTTTAGATCTGTATTATAAACTCCCAAGGCAGCCTCACAGGGCCCCAGGGAGTTGTTATTCCTAGATAGGGGAGGGCGTGCGACACATGCCTGTTTACCTATGTTAAACACCAGGCGTCCCCGTGTCACCTGTCACCTGTAATGATGTTCTGTTCTTCAGTGTTTCTTACAGTGCTAATTATAGTATGAGAAACAATATATGGCAATTTATTGCTTGTACCCAGCTAATGTATGAAGCATTTGCTTATTTATATTACAAAATATACTTTTATTTTATTTCTGCAGCCCTCATTTTTACAAGTATTATGTTTTCAAGCAAGTGAGACATAGCTCTAGTGACTTTTTATATAGTTTAATAAGAAGAGGATTAGTAAAAGAAATTTTTCCTAGTGATCGGTAAATATTATTTTTAACTTTTATTGTTGTTTTTTGATATATTTGATACTATATAATTTTTCCTATTAGTCTATTTTATGTCTTGCTGTTTTGTATTACTTATTATGTAAAAACAAGGAAAATGGATTAATAAACATGTAATTTGGCAGTATTTTCATTTTTTGCATTTCAGAATTGAAAACGTTAAATAATTATTTCATTAAAATTTACTTGTTTCTGGGGACAAAATAATTATGAAGATAGATATAATTTCATTTCATGTGTAACTAACGATTCTCTTAAACTAATATTTTAGTTAAAATATTATTTGATAATTAAAATAAAGCTAATTAAAAATGTTTGTGTATGTATTTCCTTTTTGTTCAGTCTGAAGTTCAAGAGTCTGATAAAGATTCTTAACGGTATTCAGATTTTGCATGTTTAAAGGAAATAGTGTATGCTTTTTATTAAAGATTATTCTAGGTTTATGCTGATATATAGCTGAAAACTTGGTATAAGTATCATCACAATATTTTGTTTTCTTAAGTGATATTTAATACAGTTTTTTAAAGTTAAACATGCACAATCTTATTGTGAGTAAACCAGAATTATTCCATTAATGCATGAAGGAATCATATTTTAGTAGAAAAACTGGATATTCTATTACTATTTTGAAATGAGTGTGAATGTGTGGGTGGGTATCGTCCAGATTTTTTAACTGGCCCATGCCTGCTGCTGCAGTGACTCAATGGCCAGTGTTGCCCTATTTTTCTAGAACAGGTGTTAGCAGAACTGCTGCAGAATGTTCTGATCTCCAGTTGTAACTGAATCTGGTTCCAGCCCAGTTCATTATTGATGTTCGCAATTACCTGAATGCCACTTTCGGAGCGCGATGTATTGGCCGTGGTGGACCAGTCACTTGGCCACCCCAATCTCCTGATTTATCGATCCTTGATTACTTTGCCTGGGGACATCTGAAGAGTCTTGTTTATGTGACTCCAGTTGACTGAGCTGAGAATCTCGTCGTTCAAATATCAGTAGCTGTTCATGAGTGCATGAAATGGCTGGCATCTTTGCTAGTGTACGCTAGTCACTCCAGCAACTATGTATCGCTGTTGGTGGATGGAATTTTAAACAGTTCTTGTAAACATCTTATTTCAGTTGAAGCGAGATATACTGCATTTATGACTAAATAAATGGATTGTCACCTGGGTTTCCTATGTGATATTATTTGTACCTTTGTTCTGTACCTCCAAGTTTGTACCATGAATTTGGAATCATCTTGTGTATATATATGTGTGTGTGTGTGTGTGTGTGTGATGATAAAATTTAGTTGACAGTCGGGAACTTTTGAAGAATTGCAAAAATCGCTTGATATTCCAAATATACCTTTATTACTTGTGGGCACAATGGGGGCCAATTTGCACCCCACAATTTTGATGATGGCACATTACATTTTTAACCAAAGCAGAAAAGCAGAAGACGTCCTTCGGCCAGCAAGCACAAGCAGAGAAAGAGGGAGGGAGTAGAATTGCAACAATATTTATAGTAAAATTTTTTGTTAATCTGATTGGCTGAAACTTATAGGAAATGCAGAAGTTGCAAGATGACATAATGCGGAATATGATTTCAGATATGACGTAGTTTAGAGAAAGTTATTACTGGAGATCAAGCATCCAAATTAAAAATGAGCAATTAAAAGGCATTTTAAATTATAATTTGAATTTGCATTTTTTTAATCTTATATATATATATATATATATATATAAGTAGCTGATTGTATAAGTAGATTTTGCACGGCTACATGTGATAAATCTTCAGTTTTATAGCTGGAACTGTTTCAATCGATAGTCACCACCAAAATCTTAGAGGCTTATATATATATATATATATATATATATACATGTCTCCCCCAAATCTCAGAGAAATCAAATTTTATTACATTTTATGTAAAGATAAGGGTATTTCTATTGTACGTTCAAAAATATTTAGATTATGTAGTAGTTTCATTATTATTATTCTTATTATCTGCCAAAGCAGAATACGGCAAAATGCTCTTTAATAAGTTTTGATATTTTTTAAATTGCTTCAGTTTGATATAAATTATATTTATTCTTTCAGACCTATTAATTGTATTGGGAATCCATGTGCATATGCTGGTTTTGATGCAACATCTGATAGCTTACACATTGGCAATCTTCTTGTTCTCATTGCATTGCTTCACTGGCGGAAAGCAGGATACGAAAGCATTGTTGTTGTAAGCTTCTAGTGTTAGTTCTATATATGCGTATAATGTGAAATAAATTTAATTCATAATATCACATAAGTTTTTTTAAAATAATTATTATTTTTATTAGAGGATATCTTACTTGCAGTGCCAAAAAAATTAATTTTCAATATATAAATTTTTGGTATTGTTCTGTAATTAGGAACGGATCAAGAAATGTGTGGATGTATGTATGGATGCAAGTGTTCATGCATGCATGTATATATGTAAGCATGAATGTATGTGTGTGTATACATACACACATATATGCACATACATACAGGGCACATCGGAAAAATGTATATACACTGTCATATAAAATTTGTTATCATACCTACAAGGTTAAATTTATAAAAAAGTAATGATATGTTTCCTCAACATGTGGCAGCACAGTTGTTGGTCTAGTTGCACAACCCAGTTAATGCCAAGAGAATGACATTGACATGGTGGATGTATGTTTGAACTTCCAAGAGCAGAAGCAGGTTTTCAAACGGTACTGAAAGTTTGAGAATGTTGTTGCAGATCAGAGACAGTGGAGATGTTGAGTATGGGACTGATCCACCTTCAAGGTTAACAATTAGATGTCTACGAGAAACATTTGAGGTTCATAGAGCAGTGTGATGTGCAGAAAGGCCAATCAGAAAGATTTTGCACGGCTACATGTGATAAATCTTCAGTTTTATAGCTGGAACTGTTTCAATCGATAGTCACCACCAAAATCTTAGAGGCAAGGATTACATGAATGTGGTTTAAGTGCTAGTGGTGAGTGATAATGTAACAGGCCAGTGGATAGGATGCAGGGAACCAATCGAGTTTCCTGCATGTTCTTCAGACCTTACGCCCCTCAATTTTTTTCTTATGGTGCACAGTAAAAGATGAGGTGTACTGTCATAAACCATGTCACCTTGACATCAGATTTGGCATCAGATTCAAGTGGTATGCATAGAAATCCCATTTTTGGTGCAAGGTACGGAATCAGTCGTGACTCAGAAATGTATAGATAAAGGCCACCATTTTGAACATTTATTTTAAAACACCATTTGAAATATTCTGTTTGATCAGAAAGTACACTTATTTTTCAAATTGGGTGATAATCTTACTTTTTCTAAACTTTGTAGGTTGAAAAATAAATTTTCTGTGACAGTTCAAAGTGTGTATCCATTTTTCTGACACACCCTGTATCTAGATACGCACATAACATTTGTACATTTCTGAATTCGGTCCCGATAACAGAAGAGTACAAATTTTTTCATGGTTTCTTCATTAAAATTATTCATCTCTTTCTTTTTCAAAGCATATTTATACAAAGCTATATTCATATATTTATTCATAGTTAAATAAAAGATAAAAGTAAAAGATTAATTCCTGTCAAATATTCCATGATTTAAAATTTAAATCCAAAACACTTTGTTCAGCTTGAGTCCTCTCTGTAAGCAAGACTAAAAAATTTCATACTGCTTGTGAAATTTTTAAATTCAACACTTATTTTTTATCTTTGCTTTTTTTAAAGGGGGGACCTGGCTTATTCTTTTTCCCCAGTGGTGCTGCTCATCAAGTATTTTTGCCCCCGTGGTCTTGCTATCCCTTGCTCATTAAGAATTCGTTGGGAGTCAATCAGGTGTAATGTGATGGTCATTTCAAAATTAATACATGCTGATTTTTATTTAAGATGTTTGATGTACATTAAATAATATTTTCCCTCCCTCTTTTTTCAATTCCCCCCTTTTTAATGCTTTCTATATAATCTGCCTGCTGTTGAATTATGATGCTCACAAGTTTTGGAAGGGCTGCAATTCTAGTTTGTCATCTCAGTTAAATCCAAGAAAGAATTACAAAACCTTTGTTAATTTAAATATAATTCCTTGATTATTTATATATACATTAGATTAAAAATATGTAAATATAAATTATCATTCAAATTGGCAGTAGCCCCTTAAGGCTTAATTTTAATTTAGGTATTTCCACTCTCTATTCTAAAAATAGTTATACCTTTTTTCTGAACTGCATCTTTTGTAGTTCAATCTATACATATGACCTATGTAATGCTGATAGCTAATTCGGAACGTAAACTGAAACTTTCTCTTAATAAGCTGCCATATTGGAATAATGTACCCTTTGCTTCTACATGTACCTGTGTTTTCTCTAAGATGTATTTTGCTGCTATTTGTCCTATCGCAATAAAATTTCAAATGTGACTGTTCTCGAACAGTCATGGCCGCAAATGTTTATTGAAATAAAAAGAATATTTAATATGCTTCAGCTGCTAAGTTTGCTCTTAATTATGGATCAACATCTCAGTATCTACGCAATCAACATTCCTATATTATTACATGCACATATATATATTCAGGATGAATCATTAAAAAAACTTCTTTTATTTTTTAATTAAGTACAAATGAAACATTAGTAATTTATATTTAAAGTAATTACCTATTTCTTATGATCTTGTTATAATTAAACATTAAATGTAAGGTAGTAGAGCCAGGACTTTTCAAAATTAGCATAGGTTAAACAACTTTTTATATCTGTGATTAAATTAAAATAGAAATGTGAAGTAATAAATGATGTAATGAAAACGAACTGTATTTAGTTCAAAGTTCCCTAATCTTTTATCCTGGTTCACAATTCATTTCCAACATATTTCACATGACACTACTGGAGGCAATCAGTCAGTAACATTTCTGTATTTATTGAACATTAATTTGCTAGTTTTGGTTAAAATTATTGTGAATTATAAAATTCTTTTAATTTTCAATATTATATTTGTTTCTGTAATTTTATCAATTTTAAGATGATAGCACATGGATTTACTTTATTCTTAACTGTGTTGAAATTCAAAGGTATAGAGGATGGGTTTGTGAATGTTTTCAAGAACAGCTACATATGATGAATAACTATATTCATCTAAAAAATTCTTTTGAATCACTAGCAAATTAGCAAAATGTTTTTAGGTTTTGATATTTGATGAAGATTAATTTGCATTGTTGATATTGGCCAAGATCCTGAGGAACTGTGTTATTAGTCTATCTGTTGTTTGTTAAATTGTTTAATTATAACAAAGTCTTAGGAACTAGATTATTCATTTATTTCTGTTTAAATATGTATATATATATATATATAAAATAGCTGGCAATTCTCTTGATTTTACTGAGTGACTGCCAGTTTTTCGTCACATCACCAGGTAGATCACAAAATCTCTAGAGTTTGAATTTTTAACCTCTGCTAAAGAAAATATTTCACAGTGAGAGATAAATTTATTGAATTGATGAATATAAATAGTGCAAAATTCATTCTGCCCACCCTTAGTCACATTTAGCAGAACTTTTCTTATTAACTTTTTTTTGGTCTGAATTGTCTATTAAGTAACTGCAGATATTTTTGGAACTTTTTGTGAAAATAAAACTCATGTTCAATGAGTTAATATTGTTAATCAGTTAATAATTTTGTTTTAAAGTACTATATGGGACATTACTAAATTTATACATACAATAGTATATACCTTATTATTATTTTCATCATATTTAAATGTACTCCAATAAATTAGCTTTTTAAATAAATAGTAAATAAAAGAATTTCTCAGTGTAGAAGTGTACAGTGGAACCTCGAGATACGAGTTTAATTTGTTCCAGCATTGAGCTCATATCTAGAAACAAACTTCCCATTGAAAATAATGTTCCGTACTCCCCAAAAATATCAACATAAAAATGAATTTTCCTAATAAATAACAGTGGTAAATAATATAACCTTAGTTTACCTTTATGAAGAGTCCTCACTTTTGATAGGGATGTGTGGAAGACAAATTGGGTTACCGTAGGGAAGGAGAATACCCCTCTGATTCAGGAATGCTCTCTCTTCTTGGAAATTTTACTCCACTGGAAGCAGATTCTGGGTCAGAATCACTTAACTTTCTTTTAGTTGCTTTACCAAAAACTTATCTAATAACACTTGCTTCTGTCTCCTTTTTAAGATGCCTCTAAAATGTGGCACTACATTGTCATTATACAAGTTCATTGTACATCACACACTACTTTATTAGAGTGATTTTTTTCAAAGAAAGTTTTCACTTCTTTTCACATTGCCAACACTTATTTAATCATACTGGAAGAGAGGGCCTTACCTCCTTCCAGGTCTCTCTTCTAGTATGATTAAATAAGTGTTGGCAATGTGAAAAGAAGTGAAAACTTTCTTTTCAGGACTTGTTGGTCTCCTGTTCCCTCCTCCCTTAGCGAAAGCTCTTGCTGCTGCTCCTTGTGAAGTTCTTTAAGTTTACCTGCTGTAAGTTCTTCACTATGCTCCTCCAGTAACTCATCCAAATCAACACCCTCTACATCCAGACCCATACTTTTCCGCAGAAATACAATTTCTTCAACTAGCCTCACTGTGTTGGTTGAGGATTGTGTTGCACAGGTTGAGGATCGAAATTTAAGTCAGGAATACTCTGAGGCCACACTTTTTTCTATGCTGAATTCAAGGGCCCTCACTGAGACTTCTTCCCAAGCTTTATCAATGAGGTTTAAACAATTTAGGATGTTGGAATTGTCCTTCCAAAATTCTATGAGAGTTAGGCTTGTATTTTCAGTCACTTCAAAACACCTTTGAAACAAGGCCTTCATGTACAACTTCTTAAAGTTGGAAATAACTTGTTGGTCCATAGTCTGAAGTAGAATGGTGTTGAGAGGAAGAAATTTAAGTTTTATGAACTGAAATTCTTCCACCAAATCATCTTCAAGGCCTGGAAGATGTGCAGGAGCATTATCAAGGACAAGCAAAGCCTCGAGTGGCAATTTATTTTCTCGATGAAAAATTGTCGTGTTGGACAGGCTTGCTGTAGGCCTGCCATATCACATTCATTTGGTTTTTCTGCACCTTTCTCCTCTTGAAAACCCGTGGATTTTCTGAGTGGTAGATGAGCAATGGCTTGATTTTGACAATCTCCACTTGCACTGGTGCCAAACAAGAGGGTAAGCCTATCTTTTATTGGCTTGTGGCCAGGCAAAGATTTTCCCTTTTGCATGATGCAGGTTCTCGTAGGCATTTTCTTCCAAAAAAGACCTGTTTCATCACAATTAAACACTTGCTGGGAAAGAAACCACTCACTAATAATAAATTATAGGAAATTTATCAGCTGTATCAGAGCTCTCAGTCTTCCCATGTCGCACAACACTGTAAGCACCAGTTCTCTATTTAAATTTTTCAAACCATCCATGGCTTGCCTTAAATGCCATCTCATCTTCAGTCAATGTACCTGTTTTTTTTTTTTTTTTTTTTTTTTTTCGGAGAAGATCCAAGTAAAGATTCTTAGCCTTAGCGAAAATGATAGCTTCCCACACTGAATCGCCTTTTAACTGCTTCTTGTTAAGCCACGCCAAAAAATCTTTTAGGAGTTTCGGACAGGGGGCTTGAAAGTAAAGGTCAGAACAGTGAAGATGTTGGTGTCAAGAATGGCGGTAAGTCTTTGCCAATCCCGTCACTCTTACACCAAGCTTATATTTATCTATGATTACTTTCTTAATTTCAATGGCCATGGCTTCCTTCTTTTTCTTTGCAGAACTATCTGAGGCAACAATCTTTCTGGGAGGCATAGTGAAATAATTATTTTCATGTTAAATGTAAAAAAAATAATTAATTCACAAGCCACAGACACGTAGATCGAAGAACACTGAGTGATCTGACAAGAGGATTCCCCGAGATGAGCTGGACCAGGAAACGTGCCATACATAACAACAGCCTGGCTCGTTGCTCATCACTCAAGTCAGTGCTCATATTTAGAGACGAATTTTTCACTTGCACTTTCCGCATATCTTGAATTTCTTATATATAGAGGTGCTTTCATCTGAAGGTTCCACGGTAAGATAATTACAAATGAAAATAACTAAAGGACATAAAATTTAAAATATCTTTATGAAATGTAAATATTATTAGATTGTAAATAGTTTAGTAATCTGAATCATGCATTATAAAGGAAACCGGTCATTTTGAAATCGCGTTGCCTTGCAACATGAAAACCTGTCAGGAACTCCTCATTTTTCTCATTTCGAGGTTGGCAGATATTATATATGTATGAAAAAATAAAATTCAAAGGAGTATATAATGCATGGTAGTAAATATTTTTGTTGTACCTTCCAGCAATATCCAAGGAAATCAACTACAAGAACAGGTTTTAAATTTTAGATTCCACAATTTACATTTTGGAACATTTTGCGAATATGACTAAAATTAATTTGATACAGATTCCAGATATTATTGCATTTAAATTAGCTTAGCAAACATACCTTTTCTTCTACAGATATGACCATTTTGTCTACTGTAAATGTAATCATATGTAATTGTAATCAAAATGAGTCATAATACACACTTTGATCACTAGTTGGAATGCTGGAAAAAATCTTTTTATCTGAACAATATCTCTATACCTTTAATCATGTATCTTTTATTTTGTAACCTTTAATTGTACATTGTACTTTTTAAAATAAATCATTAAACTATATTCTGCTTTTATAACAGCCCTGCATTTTGCATTCAGCATTAGCAACAAAGTAATCATTCTGTTTACCTCTGTTATTTCAAAAATAAATTAAAACAGGAGCATAATTCTAAAATAAATTAATCAATGCTATATTTGTACAGTATAGCACTTCTTACTATATTATATGTTTTTTTTTTTTTTTCATTTGAAGTTAGGAGATACAACAGCTGAAATTGGTGATCCTAGTGGACATAAAACTGATAGGGTCATACTTTCAAGGGATGTGATCCATCAAAATACTGAAGCAATAGCAGAAAGTGTACTTACCGTTTTTGATAATTATGAACAATACCTTCTTCCAAGGGTTAAAAAGAAGCCAAAAACTTTAGGAAAGTTAAGGTAAAAATATAGACACTTTGTGTGTGTGTGTGGTGTAATGAAGGTAAAAATGTTCATTGCACACAGGCATCCAATTTAAATGCACAAATATTTCTGTAATTACTGCTTGTAGTAATACATTCTAAGACTTACCAAAGATTGTACAAATGCTATATATAATGCAACATTCACATTACTGATATTAAGTTTACTAATATTGAGTCACAATAAATGTTAAAATTACATTTTTTGTGAAATTTTTCTTTCATGTATGATTTAAAAATTTTAAACAAAACCTCAAGAGAAGGTAAAGAACTAACAAATGTTATTTTGTGTAACATCATGTACAGTTTTGAGAGTATTAAATTCATTTTTATATCATTTGTTTTTCAAAGCATTTGCTCTATATTTTTTAATATAAGCCAGGAGAGAGTTTTTATCTAAAAATTAACCTGAAGTTCAAAACTCGTATGCAAGACAAATTGGGGGGGGGATCCTGAAATGTTCAAACATGTCACCATGAGAATGCATATGTTGTTAAGCAGGTGAAACATGTGGAATATTTTCCAGTCAAATGGCTGTAAAGTAAAACACCAGATGCCAGTGATGATGGTTTTAACTATGTTGACAAATTTAACATCTGAAGCTAGCACATTTATTCCATTCATTTGTTGTCTTGTATACAGTTTGTGGTATTTGTGCTGGTCTTATTTTCCATGCCATTTTAGTTTTTGTCTAAAAGATAAGCTTGAAGAAAATTCTTATGCAGCAAATTTGAAACTGCAGGTGATCTTGTTTGCTGAAATCTAACAGCAATATGCCTGCTCAATATTTTTCCATAAATGGAAAACAAGTTCAAGAATAGAGAAAGATGGCTGGTAAAAGATGGATGGGTAAAAATTTTACCAACATGTCATCTTTTGGTTTGACGGTCACATAACAAGCCACCATTACAAACACTTTTGAAAGTAAAGCAACTCCTCTACATAAAACAAATGATTCATCTTATAAAAAATTAATTTTTTAATTGAGAGATAAAAAAGTGTAATATTACTGATTTATCGCTTGGCATGCGCCCAATGGAAAAATACCTACAAACGTTCTCAGCTCATACACAGAAATATGCGGTATTTAAAATATTGGTCAAAGTCATGTTTCAAATTTGTGCTTATGCAAATAAAAAAGCATGTGTGTATTTATGCTTCTCACAGCTCCATGTATTTCTTTGGGAAGACAAGGCTGGGAGCATTTAGATTGCTTTATTTTACCATGTTATGGGCTATTTTTGCTTGTCATACAATTTATAACTTATAAGTTTTTATTAAATTAGGTTTTATTTTTTTAAGTCCCCCCCACACTTTAAACCAAAAGTAACTAAAATTACAAATACTGCATTAGGGAACGAGAGGGTGTAACTGTAATCTCTATTAAAATGTTAAGGAATTTAAGTAAAAATGTTCATTGTATGTTTGGCAAAGTGTATTCATAATAAATTAGAATAAATGTGTCTTTCAAATCATATTTATTTTTTACAAGTATATATATAATTAAAAACTGTTATGTGATGCTAAAACATTTATATATAATTAAAAAATCTTATATGGTGCTAAAGCATTTGTAATTAAAATATTATATTTTTTCCCCAAGCTTCTGCTTTGAGTTACTGTAATTGCTATTATTTACAATAATATGTATTTAAGAAAACTCAGATAAATTTGTATAAATGTGATATTTAATATTTTGTATTTTTTATGAATTTTTAATGTTACATTAATTTCTCTTTCTTCATGAGAATATAAATTTAACCACAATTTATACAAATGGATTTTTAAAATTAGAAGAATGTATTTGGGTGTAGATATCATTTTACAACAAAGTGCTACAAAATTTTATTTTGAGAAGTGCTTAAAAAGCACTACTACTTTTGTTGTACCTTCTACAGCCATAAATTATGAATTTTTTGCCAAACTGAATAGCCTTTATTTTAAAAAAAAAATTCTTTCTTAATATTATATTTAAAAAAATGTAATAGAATTTTAAATGTGTTTGAGTAAAATTTTTTCTTTAATTTGTTGTAATTCGTTGTAAAACAATTCATCGAATTATGTGATGTCATTTTTCATATAATTTTATTAAAATGCTCTGAAATTTCAGGTATTGTAATGAGTTAAAAATTACATAATCAATGCTATCATTCTTTCTTTAATGCTTCCTTAAGTTCTGTGATTTATTGCATTTACGAATTATATTTTAGTGATAACTTCTTATAAGTTGCTCTATTTTTGTTTTAATCAATGATGCACTTAATATTCCAAATAATTTTTAATTCATAATGGTGTTATTTCACTTGTTTATTATTAGCATACTGAGAAATAGTGAATGGTATGAGAAGACAAGTATTGTAGATTTCTTTTCACGATCTGGGCGATACATTCGTGTTGGAGATATGTTGTCTCGTACAAGGTAAATTTACGAATGTGTTTTGTTTCAAGGAGGGAACTTTATATATGTTCCATGTGTGTGTGTTTTATATTTCTATATATGTATATAAAGAAACTGTTTATTGTTATTTTTTTCGTACATATTTGTGAATTTAAAATATATTTTGTTGAAAATTTTAAAGGAGGTGCACTAATATCCTGGAATGATATAGTTCTGTTATACGTTTTTCAAGTGCAGTTGTCTTTTGTTTCTTTCTTGAAGTTTTCTTCCATAGAAGTGTAATATTTGATAGATGTTGTTTAAAAACTTTATCATCTTGTATGCAATAATGATTTAGAATTGATTTTCAACTTTTTGTTCAAACATGCACTTTAAGTTATCCATGGGGAATAATGTCCAAAATTATGATATATAATTTTAAACCATGTTAAAGAAAACCAAACTTTTAAGTGTTTTTTACTCTTAGGAAGCCTTGAGTAATCTTCATTTGGAAACAGGATACTGATCAAACATTTTCTAAAAAATTAAAGGTCTCCACTCGTTGAGGTTTAAAGAAGCATCAGTTGTGCATATCTTTAACTATATAATTGTTTCATAAGAATAAATTGAATTTAATTTAAAAAATTAAATTTATATACATATTTAATTAAATATTCTATATAATAAATATTCTTCTTTAACTGCATAAGATGGATTTATATATAACTACATAGATCCATCTTATGCATAAACTATTCTTACCTTAAAATTCTCAGCTGAATATTCAAAATGCTGAGAACAGAAAAACTATTTGTAACATTAATTCAGCAGTTTGTTATAATAAGGAAGAAAAATAAGCATGTTAAAATTCAGTACAGGTAAGAAAGGATTGATAGAGTAATTATGAATAAAGATCTTAACTAAATTAAAAAGTAATAAGAAGTCATGTATGTTGCACTGTATGCAACAGATACATTTCAGCTGCATACTGCAGAAAAGATGACTGTAAATAGCATGTATTTTCCCAAAGGCATAAAGAAATTAATGTAATAAAATTGAAAAAATACCAATTTTCATCCTAAAAGTAGATGAAATGGCAGATATAAAAGCCAGATGCTATTTTGTTTCACTTTTAATTTTTCGTAACTTTCTAATTTCAATTGTGAATCATTCAAAATGGCTTTCCAGTGTTATGGTTTATTTATAAATTACTAATCTTTGCATGTAATTTGTAAATAAATTACACGTATATTTGTTTTTGTGTAGGATTTTTATTTTCATTAATTTTTTTAATTTCACTACAGATATCAGAATTCAAAAACCTTATAAAGATGCATGATTAATGTAATTCTGATTTCCATTCATGTGATTGTTTGGGATTTTAAATATTCTAAATCTATATTTTAACTGCAAAATTGTAGATTTAGTGATATTTGAGTAATAGAATAAAAATTTCCAGTAAAATATGTGTATAATTTACAGCAGTGGTCTCAAGCTGAAATCGCCCACCTGAAAACAGTTGATGATCTAGAATAGTTTTAACAATTTAAAAAATTTTTCATCAACAAAATAAAAAAATTAGTAAATTTTTAATTTAGTTTACTAAATATTTTTTAAAATGTACATAAAGGATTATAATTATATTGGAAAGGAAAAAAAATACAAACTTATATTTATTTTCCGTCTAAAATCTAAAGTAGTTTGGTACCTGTGATCCACTTTTATTGGTTACACTTTGTAATACAAATATTTGAACAGCTAAATATTAAATTTTCAGACTGACATTTATTCATAACTGATCATGGATGCTCATTCGTCAGTTAAGTTCTTTTCGTATTAATTTTCAAAAAAAAAAAAAAAAAAAAAAAGAAAGAAAGAAAAGCTGAAAAAAAAGCTATTCACGTACAAAAACAGTATGTATTCCCAAGCAAAGCAATTATTCTTAGTCCAAAAATTCATAACTGACCTTATTTATTTTTTGACAAATACAAATAAAAGTTAAATCTTTGAATAAGATTTATATGACTAGCTAAGTTGGTTAACTCCATTTATAGATTTTTTATGTGTTATTCACATTAGATTTTAATAGTGGTGCATATAATATAAACTTGGACTTAAAAAATAATTAAATTCTTGAAATTTTTGCAACAAAGTTATAATTGCAATGTCTTTGCGAGCCACATGAAATTGCTTCAGTTTGAGACCTCTGATTTGCAGAACTTATTTTATTTATTAATTTTAAATTAAATGTAGAGTGGTTAATTTTTTTTTTTTAAATATGCCCTATGAACACATTTTTTAAGTTGTCAAACTATTGTTATGCATTGCATACTGACAAGTTTTAGTGTAGGCTGGAGTCTATGCAATTTATATGTAATAAGATATTTTAAATGAAATGACAGTGCCTAGATATGGTAAGTTCGTGCTAAGTAACTAATGATTCAATTTAATAAAGGTAACTCTTAAGCTTAACATATTTCTCTATTCGATTTATTTAAGATAATACAGATTTTTCCTTTGTCTTTATAGACAAAGATAATTACTGTTATACAGTACATATATTTTTGCAGTGGAAAATATAAGATTGAAATTTAATTAGAAAAAAAAGAGAACATTAATTGATTGTTTACAATTAGGTTGACATGCATGTTTAAACATGTAAATAACAGCATCCTGTGCAAAATTCATCCCCTCAGAGATAAAAATAAAAATGCTGTATATTCCATCCACTATATTTTGAAACAGGATGTATCCTAAATTTTCTCTAATCTGAATCCTAAGACTTTCACTAATTTCCAGATCTCAAATACCTTCATGGGAAAATAAGAAAAAGAAAGGACGAGATATTACTATACAAAAGCTATTGATGTAAAGCAAAATTTAAAATCTGCATTTAATGAAAAACAAATTAATATTACGGGTTTTATAGGACTATATTTAATATATATATAATGAAGATAAACTCTTAATCTTTAGCTTCATTTTCTCAATAGTATTTGAATAGGAATTTAAAATTTTTATATTTTTCAAGCATCTTCTTAATATAAAGCAAGTATAAAAGAACAAGATTCTTTCAAAGTTAACACTGATAAATTCTAAATGCAGGTTCTATGCAATAAGGAATGCAGGTTCTATCCAATAAGTTCACTCGAGGCTGTTACGAAGTGATCCAGTTCCAAAATCAAGTGCTCTTTTTTACTTTTTTAAAGCTTCTGCTGGATATCAATTATTTCCAAAAGCTGAGTAAAAATATCTAATAATTATTTAAATTAGAATTGAGAAAAATTGGATGAAGACAAAAGGAGAGGAGGCTTTTATTTTTTTTTTTTTAATCTGGTATCTTTTTTGTGTTTTGTGAAATTCAAGTATTTAAAACTTCCTTCCCTAATTCATTTTAATTAAATGATGATTTTCATGATATATTTCTTTCATTTCATTTAGTTTAAGTATATACAGTATTTATAAAGACAAATTCAAACCAGATTTTAAGAGAAAATGTTGAAGGGAATGGAATGAAAAATTTTTTAAAAATATTTTTATGTATGTAATTGTTGAATGAGAACAAAATGAAAAATAGCTACATATCTAAATGGGTAATTAATGTTTTTATTTTAGCTTGAACAGGCATTGCTTATCCTGATAGCAAATCTGTAATTAGAAACAGGGTATCCCAATTCATTCCATTTAATAAGCTTAATATTCAGTAAATATTTTTGCTTGTAAGCTAAAAAAAAATTTGAATTAGAGAATTTAATGTAAATTTCCAAATTTGGGGAGTAAATGAAACAAGGCAATAGATAGCCAATACATTCAATTAAATGTAGCAAAAATGAGTCAAAGAAAGTGCATTCTCTTAGAAAATATCTCTATAATCTATAAAATCTTAATTAGGATTTAAAGTTTCATTTTTCCATATTGAGAAAGTTTGATTAAACAACATGTAAAAATTCTTCAATAAATTACAAAGTGCCAAATTTTTCTTTCTCTTTGGTGGGGAAAGGACTAGTCCCCTAACAATTAAATGAACAAGTTATGTAAGATTAAAATAGCTATGCACTTGATCTTATGTAAGTATAGTTTTGTTCCATGGCAAAAACTGTTTTCTTAAACTACTGTAGATTTTTCATCAGTGCTTTTTATCATATTATTCTATATTTCATGTTTTTCAGATTTATTCTGTTTAATTGTAGCTGAATTCTTTTGCTTAAGTAACTACATTTGTTTGTTCTTTTCTGAAATTATTTTACGAATGATGATAATCCTAAATTTCCAGTTAAGTTATGTGTTTTTTATACACACAGAGTTGCCAACTCTCCTGATTTCTGACCGTTCTCCTGCCAACCCAATTTACAACATATTTATCCCAACTTTCTCTTACTATTAAAATTTCTCACGATTTTCATTTAGGTATGCTTAATACTTCATTTTTTGCATCGAAAGGAGTAATTTAGCGCATCTGAACGCACTTAGTGTTTTTCTGTATTACATATAAAAAGAAAACCAAAGAAACGTATAGGGAGTTAGAAATTATGGCGCGCTTCTGCTTTGTGAGTGAGAGCATATGTATCCGAAAACATTCTAGTTCTCCAGCGAGCATCGAACACCTTTGCATGTCATCTGGCATATATTAGGCAATGCGCATAAAGCAAGATAGAGGTTGTTGTTTCATACCACTCATCATACCACTGAGTGGTGTGAGTGCATGTGCTTTCGAGAAGTGATTGAAGAAATTACGATCTTTTCTTTTAGTTATATATGCAAAAAAGTTAAAATACTCATGTACTTTGTAAAAATCGTATACAAGTAACTTTCCTCCTATTATTTACTCATATATAATGTAATATGTAATACATTTGCAATGTGTACCATTTGTCATTGCGATTGTTCGATTTTGCATGGTGAAAGGGCCGATGTTCTCAAACATGTTTACAGAAAAACATAAGGACAACATGAGTTCTATTAAAAAAAAAAAAACGAAAAATAATTTTTTTTTTTTTTTTTTTTTTTTTTTTTTTTGTGGAAACAAAGGACTAAAAAGTTATTAATGTAGGAATGTCTGTTGTCTGCCTTTTTACTGATGCACAACCTGCCATTGAATACATCAGATCAGGCTGCAGCTGTATTTAGGAAAATATTTCCTGATAACAAGATTGGTTTTATCCGCTGCTAAGAAATACTCAAGTGCAAGGACCAAAATGGCTGCAGTTTTTAAAGAAATGGGTGTGAAAAATAAATCTTCAATTATTGATCATAAAACAGTTCCATTCTGCCTCTCTATGGATGGAAGCAATAATACTGATTCAAAACTGTATCCAGTTGTTGTTTCTTTTTTTTAATCCAGTGTCTTCAGAAGTTGAGTGTAGTTTACTTTCTGTCTCCTCTTTAGGCATTCAACAAGCTTTAAAATAGCACAGCTAATTATTAAAACTGTAAAAGAAAATGCAATTCCTCTGGATAATTGCTTAGCACTTGGTGCCGATAATGCACCAATAATGCTAGGCTTGCAGACTGGTGTTGCAGCTATATTAAAAAAGGAAAATTCAGATTTGTAAATTATGAAATGCACCTGTCGCCTTAAATTTAGCAGCTCTTTACCACTAAGTGTGGATTAACACATTGTTGGTATTTGTTAATATCTTGAAAGGAGTTTTAAAGGAAGAAAAAACTGAAACAATTCAAACAGCTGCATAATACTGAAATAAGAAAAAATTTGAAATATGCTGGCTATCTTTGAAGAAATGTTAATCTAGAATTCTCAATCAATGGAACCCACTTTAAAAAATGCAAGATTGCATTTTGTAAAGAAGTAAATGCTTCTCAATAAAGTTAAGAAAAGACTCTGGGTTGATCTTTACAATATGGTAACTGGTAGTTTGGCGACATTTTGGAGGCGATAAAGGTTACTACCTGGGACTTTGGTAATAATGTGAGCAGTACTTAGTTCTGATACACATTATTTTTGGCATGAGGGAAATGAGAGATCATGGGATATGTCATGTGATTAATGGACGAATTACGGTTCTTTAATCGGAAAAGGGGGGAAATCGGGAAAAAATGTGGAAATTTTGTTTTAGCTTTACTGTGTTATGTGAAACAGTTTGTTTTTTTGGATCCCATGGCCCTAACTAAAGTGAATTCGAAATGGGTATTTAGCATGTGATAAAGAGAGTTTGCTTTTTATTTAGCGGAGGAAGTATGGAGGAAAAATTCGCAGAAAAAATCTTTCAATAATTTATGAAGAATTAGAAAGTGTATCCGCCACGTAATCAAGATTCTGAAGAAGAGTAGGTAAGTAGTATTTTTAATTATTTGAGGATATTATTTTTATGCATTGTCTAATGTAAGGTGGAAAGGAATTTGGTATATTGGGAAAATTGTTGTTCGCAATGATTTAGTTAAAGTATTAGGATTGTAAGGTAATTTTTATTAATTTAATGTATGTGCTCATTTTATTTTAAGTAGTGTTTTTGAATTAATTATATTTTAATGAAATGATAGTTATTTTGTGAATTTTGTTTGTAGGAATTTGGTATACTTTTAAGTTGAAATAACTGCATGGAAAATTTAAATATTGATACTAAGTATTTGGATGCTTGCGTATGAATTCGTTGGTGACGTGTATATGTAATAGATGATTTTAGAGGTAAAGTTTTTGATATTTTATTTATTTTATATGTGGAAATGTTCATATTGGAAGGTAAATACTTTTTCGCGATCAGGTAATTTTATATATGTTCTTTACGGGTTAAAGATTGAGAAAATTGTCATTATTTTCGTGAAATTTTTCTAATTTATGAGAAAAAAGCAGTGTACATGGATATAGTGAAGAGTGTGCGCAATGCCTTTTTGTGGCAATTCTGGATGTTTTTTTAAGTAAAAATAAGTCGCGTGTACATGGTTTATGTGTATGTGTTATTTTGAAAAACGCGTAAGGAGTATGTATTGTGCACTTTTTCCCAATTTTGCAGTGAATATTTGTCATGATTAAGCTGTTTGTTGATAAATTTCTAGCATAAGTGTAATTCGGCTAGTAATTGTTGGAAGAAGTGTCAGTAGATAGAACAAAACATGTCTTTACTTTTCGTGAAGACAAAATGGCGGCGGGGAAAAAAAAATAGAGGGTTGCTGTAGGAGAGTTGGTTGCCAAATTTTCACCAAAAAATCGCCAAGTTACCATAATGTAAAGATCAACCAGACTCTGTTGTAAATTATAAAATACCTAGAGTAAATAGAGATGTAGTTACTACTTTCATTGTTGAAAATAGGTTTGAGAAAAATAAAAGTAATTTCTGCATTAGTAAACAATTTAATTGGCAGTTCTCAAACTAATACTATAAAATACAAGCATAAAGCCTAATACAAATTTTTCTCAAAATAAAAAAATTACTCAACAAGGGAAACATTCTCCGATTACTATAAGTTTATCTTGTGAAAAACAAATCTTTATATTTTTGTCTTCAGACCTTAAGAAAGCTTTTTTGTACAATTCATTCCGCTATCATTTAATGTTCCTAACAGAGTTATGCAAAGCTGAATTTTATTAATTCATGTTTTGCAATCAATGATTATATTATCTGTTTAAAGACATTTTATCAAAGTTTGTAAAACCAATCTTTGTTTTGTCTTCTAATTCTATATATGATGTGATTTATGGTGAAATAGAAAATCAAAAGAAAGATGAAGATTTGGTAATAGGGGGTGCAACTAACAAAGCAGTGAAGAACTTTCAGAGGAAGATAAAAATAAGTTTTATTTTCATGTTAGAAGCTACTTCTGCCATGTATGTGATTCCATAATACATAAATTTCCAGTCAACTATGAAGTGACTTTACGTGCTAGATTGTTGCAGGTGCTCCTTCTCTATCAAATGCATCTCTTTCTGATATATGATATTTTTTTTAATATGTTTCCAGTTTTTCTTCATTTAGTCATGAAAAATGATGATATTGATGTTGCAACTGGTAAATCACAGTCACAGTTTTGCTGTTTACAATAAGAAAACTGAAAGGTGCTGATGGAATTTTAAAGTATAGTGAACTGTCTAGAATAATGTCGGCCGTCCTGACAGACTAAAGTAATGCAGAGTGAAAAGGATACTCAGTGTTGTTGCAAAACAAGGACTAAATTTAGATTTAAAGTAATGCAGAGTGAAAGGGATTCTCAGTGTTGTTGCAAAACAAGGACTGATATTAGTAATAACATATTCAAAAAACTTTTATTAGCAAAAGCAGGCCTACATAGCAGTTGCTATGTTCTTAATGAAAGCAAAATCTGCCACTGTTTGTAGCATTTGAACAAAAACTGATTAAATTATTATTATTTTATTTATATTTATTTATTTATTTGTTAAAAAGATGCAAATAATATTTTTTTTAATGTAGGTATTTTTGTACTGTTTGCATTACTAACAGTATGCTAACAGTACAAAACTATTTAAAGTTAATTCATTATTAAAACTAACATTTTTTATCATTTAAAAAATCTTTTTGTTGTTGAGAAAAATCTGAATTTTGATTGTCGAAAGTTGGCAAGTATGCAAACATTTTGCTTCTGTATTTTCAAATATAAATATTAAATATGTTCCAATTGCACTTATATAAATGTATCTTATTTTTATTGGCTTGAATAATTATGCTTGTTTTTATTAATTTTTAAAATCTTTTTTCATCTTAGTGTGCGAAGCAGAATGGAGAGTGGAGCTGGAATAAACTTTTCCGAGTTCAGTTATCAAGTTTTCCAATCCTATGATTGGCTTTATTTATTTAAAAATTTTAACTGTAGATTCCAGGTGAGTTTAAATTTTATAGAAAATCTTTGCATTTTATTAGCTAGAATAAATTTCGTAGAAAAGCTTTGAAAGACTAAGTTTTAATATTTAAATAATCAATTACATCTAAGAATGCTGCATTTTATTAGCTATAATTCAAATAATATAATTAAATTTGCTATTACTACCACAAAATTATTTTTACTGAATGCAGAAAGCATTTCAAAGCTACTTGTATAAATATAATTTCTAATAATGTTAATGAAGGATATCAAAACTTGTGTTTTTTAAGATGCTATATTTTATAGTTATTTAAGTATTTTTCTTTTTCTTTTAAAAGTATTTATACTGATGTCTGTTAATTAAAATGATTTAAAATAATACTATATATTACATGAGCAGGTTACCTTTGTTAAATATTCAAGTACATAGAATCAGACTTTAATTCCCTGAGTGGCATAATCACTGCTCATGAGATGTTTTGCCATTTGTTATATATTAGTTTATGATTTAAATTATTGCAGAAACTAATGTAAATAATTGTGCGAATTTAGCTATAGAAGCTGTTCAAATACATTTCTTTGTGTGTAGATCCAAACGGCTGGGTCACTCAGGACTAAATGATAGATTTTTCATTGGCAACACTGTTTTAAAAATGCAGTAACTCATATTATAATGTCCCTGAGGTGGCTAATGATAACTGCTGCTATCATATTTCTTCAAATCCAAAATAGCATGAAATCTAGAGTAGGAGAGATTTAAGAATTTTAAGAGATTTGTTGTACTTCCAGTTTAAGATATAAATATATGCATATAATACAGTAAAATAACGAAAATCCGCCGACCTGAAATTCACGTTGCCTCTCAAAATATAAACATCCAATTTCTTCAGGTTCTCGAAATCGCAACATGGAGAACGAAATACTGAAAAAAATATTTAGTGAATAATGATGTCATAATTACCAAATAATAATTAGTCATAATGGAAATACCAAATTATTAACATCAAGGTAAAACTTTTTTTGCTCCAATTTGCATCGAGGTAAAAAAGCCGATGATTCACTCAACATTTCTTTCAAGTTCACGATTCATGTTGTTGTATTTTCTGAGCTTTATTGTTTCACGAGATTATTTAATGTTGTCGTTTTTTATCTAGATATTTTGCAGATAAATTAAAAATATTTTTAATTTCAGCTCTTCTTAATACAATGACAGATAAGAAATGCATTAATGATTTTACTGTTTACAATGCTGAAAAACATAAACACGTTGCATTGATGATAATGCAAAAAGTGAAGTTCTGCAAAAGATGAAGGCAGACACTACTTCTTGGTTTATAGCAGAATCGGGTGGAATTGCGACACAGACTGTGTATGATATACAGAAAAATAAAGAAAAGATGTTAAAATTTTACAGCAACATTCTAACACCGGAATCCAAAACCAGAAATGCATGAGGCAAAATCAGCAACCTTGATGCTATCTTGTACGAGGGGTTCTGGCAGTGGCAGAATGATGAGGTACAAATTTCCAGGACTGCTTCCTAAGAGAAAAGGAAAAGCAGATTCATGCTGATTAAAAAATAGAGGAGCCATGCTATTTCAGCAGTGGTTGGCTGAACAGATTTAAGCAGAGACACTGTATGCATTATCTAAAAACATGTGGAAAAAATCTTTCAGCAGATAAAGATGTTGCAGAATAATTTATTGATGAATTTTCTGTGTTAGTGGCAGAAGAAAATCTTAGCCCAGATTACAGAACAGCTTTTTAATATGGACGAGACGACTTTTTTTGGCGATGTTAGCCAAGAAAGACATTTGTGACAAGCGAAGAAAGTGCACTGTCAGAGGTGAAAGAAGCTAAAGAAATAATTACTATTTTAGTATGCAGCAATGCAGCTGAAACTTACAAATGTAAACCAGTGGTAGTGGGTCAGAGCACCAATCCAAGAGCTCTGAAAGGAGTAAAATCCTTACCTGTGGTTTACAGGAATAATGAAAACTCCTAGTTCACAAAACAACTTTTGACTGAATGGTTCATTGAGCATTTCTCTTAAGAGATGAAGGCATTGTAACAGTGTGGGGTGACCATCAAATTGCAAAATTTTGCTATTGTTAGACAACTGCTCTACACATCCAGATGCAACCATTTTAACATGTGATAATGTCATGGCCCTTTTTTTGCCCCCAAATGCTACATAATTGATCCAACGAATGGTCCAGGGCATAATGCAGTATTAAAGGCCACTATAAATCAAAAGTTTCTGAAAAAAATTCTTTCAAGTGACCATTCTATTTTACTTTATGATTATAAAAAAAAAATAATAATAACCATCAAAGACTGCATTTATTTGTTAGCATATAATCATGCAATTCTGTTTCCCAAACAATATTAGTAAATGCCTGTCGTAATGTATGGTCGTCTTCTCTGTTTATTTAAACTGAGAATGACGACAGTGAATTATCAATGTCAGTGCAGCATGGGTTAAAACAAGAGAATTGCTTTAATGCTTATATTTGAAAGAAAGAATAAATGAGCTTGCAAGAAGAAGATATCATCGAATGGATGAAGAGCCAACACTGGCATATCAGATGACTGTTGATGAAATCGCTGTCTCTGTTTTGAACTCGGCACAGCAAGAAAGCGATTCTAGCACCGACATAGATAGTGAATTTGATAGAAGTGAGAAAATATCTTTTAATGAAGGTTTGGAACATGGTAAAAATACCTTAAAATTTTTAGAACAACAGAGCTGTGTCACAGAGCAAGAGATTATGACTCTACATAATTTACAGAAAGAAACTTACTCTAGAGCACCCTAAAGTTTTAAAACAAACCTATATCAGAAAAATGTTTGAAACATGTAAAAAGAATGAAATATTTTATGCTTTAATAATATATTTTAAATATCCTTGTAATCACTAATATAAATGAATAATATAATATATATATATATATATATATATATATATATAGATATATATATATGCGTTATATATATATATATATAATATACGCATAAATTTATCTAATTTGCCTTATTTTTTTGAACCTTAGTTGAATATGATGTTCTCTTCTGTCTTAAATCTGCATAATCTTTGCGATTCTGAACTTCTACTGTACTGTACATTATTAGAAGCCATTGTTTTTTTTTTTTTTTTTCAATTTATTGTTATGTACGTTGCATTTATCATTAGGGCCCACCAGCGTGATAAAGTCGCTGACACTGTAGTCCGAGTTCGAATCCTGCGAACGGGCTGCTGCAGGGGAGTTTTCATGTTTTCCATGTGTAACATTATATGACCAGTTTCCTTAGAAAGTCCTCCACGAAGGCATCCATTCCCTTAGGCAGATAGCTCTCGAGGCTTTGCTATAATCACACACACACATTTATCATTAATAATATAACCATTACCATGTAAACAGTTATGCATGTGCATCATCCAGTCTTTTCTTCAGTGTTTCATAATTTTTAGAAGTGTATGATGTGAGAAGCAGGTCAAACTTTTCATTGCTTGCATTCTTTTATATCAAGCTGTTCTGTGTTCCATCAAGAAAGTTTATCAGGCAACAGTTTTTAAAATTCATTCAAACATTGTTTTGCTTGAGGTTTTAGCTAACTAGGGGCTGTAATATTTTGTTACAGTACAAAGTCCGTAATCCGGACGTCCATTATCAGGAATGATCTATAATCCGAACCTCAAAGCCACAAACTTTTTTTTTGTATGCTCTACGCATGCACGTTTAATGTATAATGGACAGTATAAGCTAGGCTAAAATTATCTTTACTGATTCTAAGGCATTTCAGTTAATGTTGCAGATTGTGCTGTTCCTTAATCTTCTAATTGGATTGTTTTTTGCAGACTGTTAGAGCAATTTTATAAAAATTAAGCTTGAACTTTCGATTATGTCAGAAAAGAGTTTCCAATTCTGGAGCTGCGAAAGGATCTACAATCGGAAGCGGTATCTTCTGATACTGCTTCCAATAGTGAAGAAAGTGACAGAGAGGTTATTGAAAACGAAAAAATTCCGATTGACAAGTTAGTCGGTATTCTTGACACAGCAATCACAGGACTTGAGCATTGGAACTTTGAACAAGAAATTATGTCTGTTTATATAGAATTAAAGAGAAATTATTAGCACAAAAAATGAAGCAACTTAAACAACTTACAATGAAAGAAATGTTTAACAAAGTAAACAATTAAATATTAAGCTCTTTTTTTTTTTTTTTCTTGTAAATTTTGATATCCTTTAGATCATAATTGCTCTTTATTTCATAAATTAAATGCGTCAACGCAATTCATGCGCAGAAAGTTTATGGCTTTGAGGTCTGGATTATGGGTGTCCGAATTAACGACTTTTGACTGTATTGAATTTTTATGATGATAATTGACATGTATAAGCCATTACAGCATTTATTAAAAAAAGAACTGCTAGCTGTGTGTTTGAATTTGTTGCCAAGCAGGCGTGTGGAAAACACGTAGTAACGTCAAACTGACGTAGTGTGATTTGATTGTGCTGCCAAATTAGCAAAAGTCTTTTCTTAGTTCTCGCCATCCAGGCATGTGGTGTATAGTAACGCCATCCCGACGTATTACAGTTAAACTGTATTGCCAAACTGGCAAAAAAAATTTTTTTTTAATCGCTAACCAGGCATGGAGATAGATAGTAAAATCGTCAAACTGACGTAGGTAAAATTCCATTGTATTGTCTAACTGGCAAAGGTGTTTATATAGTTATAGCCAATGAGGCTTGTGAATAGTGAGTTAAAACGTCAACCTGGCATAGTGTTATTTTATTTTGTGCCAAACTGGCAAAGTTGTTTAAATAATTATCTCCAATTGGCTAGTGTGAATGTCATATTTGATAAATTAAGTCTCGCCAGAAATTCTGTATTTTTAATAAGAGTACGATTTGTAAGATTCAAATTTAAGGAAATCTAATTAAAGGTAACTTGTTTAACATGTAATTCTTAGCTAGGAGTAAAAAACAGGATTTAAAAGTTCTGGCAGAAGAGTTAGGTTTAACTGTGAGACCTGAATTTAAGATTGCTCAGTTGCATAAATTGATTACTGAAAATCCAACTTATGA